CTGTGTGTCATAATTTCCTTTCATAGGAGAAAAGAAGCACATTTGCTTGCTGAAGATACAGGTATATTTTCATGGAAATCAACCTTATTTTAGGTGAAGACACAGCAAGCAATTACAAAATTGTATGAGAGTTAAAGGAATTACTTACGACAGGAGTAATTACCTTGTTATGAATGTCAAAATCTATGTAATCCTAACAGGTCCTGCCCAAATAAACTCATTGCCTAATGTTTTGCAAATGGCTGCAATCTGTGTTAGCCTTACTTTGTTGATAAGGTGTTCGGTGACGACCTCCCGCAGGCCCGTGTACAGCTTCTCTCCATGTTTGTGGAGCACCATTGTGTAGGCGTTCCTGTATAGTTCCTCGAAGCTCAGGCCACTGTTGTTCTTCCTCTGAATCTCCTGGATGGCATTCTTCAGAAGGTCCCAAATATTGTTGACGTATTTCTCATCCATCGTCATCTGAAAAAGGAAGCCAGTAATAAGTTGAATGTGACCATCACCTATGATTTGTTGTGCCAACGCTCAGATCCAAGGATTTTGTTCCTAAATAAATCCTCCTGATGCGGCAGACTCCCACCTCTGTGTGGTTTTGTCCAAGGATTCTTTCTGCATTGGGCTAGGGTGCAAGATAATCCACCTGATTGGTCCCCATTTATAACCACAAGCTCGGTAAAGGTCTATATTTCATAATCATCAGTTTACAACGTTTCATTATTTAGCCAGTAACAGGGCATTGCATTATACATGAGATGACAGGTTTTCCAAACATCCCTCTGTCCTCTGACAACCTTTTATAATCAAATATTTACTGAAAAGAGGACCTTCTGCTCTGATCTGAAATTATACTGAAATTATTTACTGCCTAACATTAAAAAGGTCCTGACGTGACAGCTATGTTAACAGCTACAAGGACCAGCTCATAACCAGCTCATTCATGAACAGGAGATATCAAACTCACATAGCGAAAAAGTCTGACCTTCACTGTCACAAATCACTATGCTTTCCTGAAGGAACGCACATCTATACTGATTGAGAATTGAACAATTAAGTATTTTTTTTCATTTCAACAGTGTGAGTGTTTGTGAGCCAAGAGACACTTTTCAGTTTCTTTAGAAACACTGAGCTACTTTGATACATCTGGTACACTGATTCTGAGGTAAGTTGAGTCCATTTTGTCCGGTTAATGCTCTCTGTCTCGCTCAGTTTACTTAAAAGTCAATTAACCCAATAAATTATTGGGATAGTAGTTAGGTAGTATACCCCTTAAAGAATAAAAGTCAGGTTCAAATCTTACCATGTCCCACTCAAGAAAGCTTGAGAACTGATGAAGATGTAAAAATAATGACTATGAGTAGGACCGATCATTATATAGACCGGTCAATAAGTATTAAATATTTAAGGAACTATTATGTATTTGCACATTTGTTGATCGATTACTCAACTGAGGTTGTGTATGACTGGCTCTACTAAGCCCATACATTTCTAAATGTGGCATGAGGTTGAAGATCAACACAGGCCAAAAACTGTACAGTCCTTCTCTAAGAAAACCTTTCAAGTTTTCAACTTTTTAAAAGGCAATGGGAGAAAAACACAGTTCTGCATGATACTAAGCTGTGGTGCATAATTATATCATGATTCTCAAAAGCTTTATATTTAAGCAGCTCTCCTTTGCATTCTTGTGGACTCTTATTAGCTTAATATGTGCCACCGCTGGTGAGGAGGAACAGTGTGTGCTCCTTCTCAGCAGACAAGCCCAAACATATGCATGTCAAGATGCTGCTCTAACAGCATGTCTCTGTCAGGACTGGGCCACATTCAACAGGCACACATAAGTAAAAGGTCCTCTCTGTAGTAACACACGGTGGCTATGTGGCCACTGTCACTACCACACAACTAGAAATTAGTCAATTACTCACAGAGGAGTAACAAAACAAGTGTCTGGACGCTGTACAGTCTCAGTCAGCCAGTCACAGACAGGCTGAAATTTCATTTAAAGCAGAATGAGGTCAGTTCATAATGAGGTCTTTCAATGACTTGCAGACAAAGGGAGTGCCAGGTGGACGAGGAGAGGAGTCCTAAAGCAGACTGTTAACACTGAAACCACGACAGAAACCAGACTTAGATCTACCAATAAAAATAACCACTGATGCAAACCCAGAACTAACATTAGGTTAGCTGGTTTGTTTGTTTTTTTTGTTAGCATCCATCCACAGCTGCTGTAAAGCTGCTGCTTGTTCCTGCACACAGCTGGACATCTAACTTAACTCACAGTTCAGGACACATACATGTGGAGCTCAGACACACGGACATTGTGCATTTGATAAAGAAAGCCAAAGGCAGCCAAAACAACAAGTGTCAAGAGCCAGGGCTAACGTTAGCATCGGCTAGGTCGACAGATCCAGTCTGCCAGCTAGCTAACGTTTGGAGAGTTGTGAGACAGTTAAACGTTTAAAGACAATAAAAGTGATTCATTAAAACTTCCCACCGAGCTGGGAATATAACAGAGGAGACACCTAACCAGCCGACCGAGGGTGGACGTCCGACGGGTGCACTTTGTTGACGGATAGACATAAGTCTGATCTGCTGCTCAGCTGGTTAGCCTGCTAGCATGTAGCCAGCAGCCCAGACCACGGCGATCGAGTCACCGTGTGCCGGGCGGACAGAGCTCCTACTGCGGCGAGCACTTACAGGAAAGGCCCGTATCCTCATTTTGGTGTCCTTCTTGGTGCCGCCTTTGCTGAGATTGGACATGGTTGCCTCGTCCTTTGGCTCTGTATTCACATGAAAGTATTCTCCAGGGAGGGACGGGGGGCGACGACTGGTTTATGGAGCAGCCGACGAGCTTTCTCTCGACCTCGCAGCTCCACGTCCCGGCACCGCAAGTTTATTGTTGACAGCCAAACGCCAAACCCCGAGAGTTGTTCATACAGCAATGGCGGACTACCTGCAGGTCTCATTGCGCAGAGCTCACGCACTCCAAGTCGCGCGATAGATTCATTATTTTTGGAGCAGTTTTCTCAACTTTACTTGTTGTCACCTGTACCTGAGAATAATTAGATATAATAATTATTAACAATATAATAATAATAATAATAATAATAATAATAATAATAAGATTTATCGCCCATATATTACAGATATTAGAGCTTTTAATCACTAAGTTTATTTCCTGAACTGTAATTCAACACGTAGTATTGGTATGTATGTTTGTAGTATTTTCTACTCAAATTATTTTATTACTTTAAAAGTAGAAGTAGTAATCCCACAATGCAATACAAAATAATCAGTGGTGGGAAGTAACTAACTGGAGTGGCTGTTCAGTTTTTACTCCTCTACATTTAACAGCTAAACCATCTTTTACTTGTCAGCAGGGTTGGGAGGGTTACTTTAAAAATGTAATCTGATACAATTACTAATTACCTGTTAAAAAATGTAGTCAATTAACCTAATCCAACTATCACAATAATAAAGTAACGTAACTTGATTTCTTCCCGTTACATTTGGATTACATCAACACCAGTTGATATGTGCAAATAAAAACAAGAGAAAAGAATTATCAATAAGAAGTATTGATGCAAGTATTTTCTATCAGACAACAGGACAAAGTTACCAAAAGAATAATCCCCATTTTTACTAAATGTAACTCATTTTTTAAATTAACTTTTATTTTTTTTAAATCCTGATTACGTAACTAAGTTAGATGTACTCTGTTACTCCCCAAATTCCTAAAATCTGATGTATGATTGATGGATACACATTAAACATTAAAGTACTGCTCACATCTTAATGGATCAATAACAATTATCTAGTAAGCCCATTCTGAATGATGATGACACTGTCAGTACATCAAGTTGCAAATACTTATTTATTAATAATTTTGAATGTTTTCTTACTTAGAAAGTACACCATTACAAGTAAAAGTCCTGCATTCAAACCTGAAATAATGTCAGACAAAGTGTACTTATAGTATCAGAAGTAAACAAAACTCTACTATATACCATACATACTCTATTATATACATATATATAATATTATATCATATATTATATATATCATGTACATATTGAAAAGTAAAATGTTTTCTTATGTTATTTAGATCAGATAATGTGCTAGTGTTTATGTCTTGATATAAGTTTTCTTTTTGTTTCATCTTAGTTTGGTGTGGTTTGGTTTGTTTGTGCTGATGTGACCAACTGGATGGACGCCTCCCTGAATCTGTGTGTGTTGGTTCAGTACTGTATGTTTGGGATGTACACGTTAGCTAGCTTAGAGCTAGCCCTAGCTTTGTTTTTATTGGTGCAGTGTATTGCGTAACTCTGCATGAAAAGTCTTGTTTATACTTTTATGTCCCTCTTCTGACACTCATAAATCAAATGTTCAAATCGAGACGCCAAATGTAATGATTTGAATTGAAAAGACGGCCTTTTCGCTTTGTTTCTAGCATAGTTTATTTTGTTTCACGCCATGTGTCTGGTAATAGGCATCATATCAGTTAAAGAGCCTATTAAGGGACCCTTGAGAAATTCTTAAAATATACATATTCCCAAATAAATTCCTGTTTGTTTTAATTTTACATCACTTGGTTGGTTTCAGGAGCTCTTGGTAAAGTATAATTTGGGCGTGTCCTCACTGGAGCCTCATCTTAATAAAAGTTTCTGGTATTGTACAAACAAGTTAAGATCATTTTACTTCAGCTACATGCAGGATGTAGAGAGATTGTTGATTGCATGGTGTGAGGAGTCAGTGGTGAACTGTAGTAGATTTTTGCCCTCGGGGCCCCCAGTGTGTTAATCTGGCCATGCTTATACAGTATCAGTATGTGGGAGAGGCCAACTGGATCAACAGAGATCCCACTGTGATGACTAAATCTGTCGCCTAATGTCACCTGATATTTCCCAGGCAACCAAGAACACTTTCATGGTGAAGTAGTATTGTATGGTGAGTATGCAGTTCATTGAGTGGTGTGTGGTTGTGTGTATTACAGACAGTAACCAAGAAGCCTTTCACCAGATTTATTCCAAGAAAAAAAAAAAAGTCAAAATTTCATCCATTTGTCTTGTCAAAAATGGTCCTTGTTCATTACATCTGAAGAAGAACAAGACCACCAGCACTCAGAACTCAACAAAACAAATAATTAACAGATGACTGGATTTAGTCCTCAGTACAAGCATCATGTATACATTTCAGATTAGTTTGGGTTCCTATTTGTGATAGAATATCATATGCATATCCTAAACACACATATAGTTTTATTTCATCCCCTCTGTCTAAAAGTCTACGATTGGGGTTGTTCAAAGATGGCATGACAAAAAAAAAAGAAAAAAGAAGAGAACAGGATGCAACCACTTTAAATACATTACAGAATTGAAATACTTCCCATTGTAATAATGACAGACAATCAAGAAACATTTTCTTTTAAAACTTTGATATTTACAAAAATTATACTTTTGCCATATTTAACAATTATGTCACAGATGATCATTACAATGACATTACATCACAGGTTAGAGTCCTGCTGTTCTGTGATGATGGGAAATAGATTCGGTTCATACTTCCTGGATGAGCCCTGGTCGTGATGTATATCAGAAAAGTTTTATATGAACACAGCCCTCGACTTCACTGCAACATTAGAGAACAAAAAAAAAAAGAAAATAACTGTAGGTATGCCTGTTTTTCACTTTGCAGCTTGGCCAGGAAGTTCACAATGTCTGCTTGGCACATTTAGCCCTGACTCTCTAAAACAAACATAAAGGGACAGATACACACGCAGTTTAGAAAAGTGTCCTAGGTCTGGACTCTCAAAAGCATTTTAGGATTAAAATTGTCACCGGCATTTGCATTTTTTTTTAATGGAAACGTCATGATCAAACACTTGAATGCCTTTGGGAACTCAGAACTAAAGTAATAACTTAACAAGAGGCATAGGTATTTACATAGGAATCTATGTAACGTCACAGAGGCAGACACTTCATATTGCACATGAAAAAGGCAGGTACGTATGAAACAGTGGTTTAAAAATAATAGAAATGGGAAAACCCACGTGTGAGAGAAAGAGCTTGAGAAAGAGCTAGAGAGAGAGAGAGTATGGCTCTTCTACAAACACATCGGTACGCCCTTTAAGAAATTTATCATAAAAAATATTCAGTCCATGAAGCCAGACCGAGGCAGATCAAACGGTTTCATCCAGTCGCGCTAATGCATATCCCGATGTAGGTCTAACACATACATCAAACCACTTTGCTAACCAATTAACCTCCCTCCCTAATGCACCCTCCTGAGACCCTTCAATGAAAAACAATATATTTAAATCCTATAATTGCCATATTTTTGCTTTCATCTACCTTCACCAGCATTATCAGGGCTGTATAAAAGACAACATAATTGAAGAACTGCTTGCAGATCACTTGAGGTTTATGTCTGCATCATCAGCACCAGCTTTGTAAGGACTCCTAATACCAAACATTTGATCTGAAACCAGCTACCTCCACCCCTTTCTCTCTCTCTCTCTCTCTCTCTCTCTCTCTCTCTCTCTCTCTCTCTCTCTCAGTCTCTCATCTACACACCCACTCACTCAGCCTATATACAGTACAGTGGTGTCCATTTCAGAAGTTTCTTTTTCTGCAACTATTCTGGTGGTTATCTTACCTTAACTCTGCAGCATTTCCTATTTTAAACATTGTAAGGTAAAACTGAATATGGCATATTGTAACACAAAACCACATAGCCACCAATTTTTAAAATGTTTTTTGTACATGAGGCACAATCTGAGAACTTAACTCTAATTTTCCAAACATTTCCTTTGGGATGCAGCAATAGTTAACTGTTGATGCTTTCAGGTAAGAGACTTTTCTTTGATGGCTACATCTCTAGTTCCTTCTTTAAAACAATTTTCTGAGCGCATTAAGAACTGAAAAATAAATGCTGTTGTGTCTGCCTAATATCCACAGGTAGTTGTATACATAACTTAAAATAGAAATAAGTGAAATGACATGAGATCTGAGGTCTCCACACAGGTATTTCACAAATATACAACTTCTGAGCATGGTGATCATTCAGTCAACACACTGATACTCAAACTATGTCTATAACAAATAAACAACATACATACTAAACAGACTCTTTATTTAAATTTTCATATATTAAAAGCTCTAAGAAAGGCAGCAAAGATGCGCAATAAGGCAGATCCATATGACACACTCAATGACACACTCCATATAACACGCTCTACTCTGGCACATTTACACTAACAGATGAGATGGATCTTTTAAAGGGCTTCGGTTGCTCTCTATCTAAAGTGGTTTATGAGGATATCAGTAAACTAAAAAGTAAGTGAGAAAGGTGCAAGGGAGAGGGTGAGAAGAATAAAGTGAAGGTGTGTTTTAGGCTTTTGTTTGAGATGTAGATGCACACTTGATGCAGTGACATGCAGTTAAAATGCAGAGGGTGTGTGTTTCTAATGTTTTTTGCATGAAGTGGGGAGGGGGTTATGGCCAGGGATCTTTGACTCTGTCATTGATCAGTGATTGTCAGATTGTCCCTTCAACACCCCAAAAAACGAGGTAAAGTGAATCAATACACATGAGGGTTATAATGCTGTGGAAGTAAATGAACTAAACCTCAACCTGTACAAGTTCATGGATTGAATTAATTAAATATACTTTGAAGAGCTGAATACAAAAATCTGTTCTGATGGTATAAAAATGGACTGCATTAATTTCTTAGCCATGGAGAAATCGACGAGGATAAAAGGAATAATACATGAGGTGTCCATACAGCATGCATTCATAAGCATCAGGTGAGGGACAATGGCAGCTGCTTGTGTGTGAACAAAGCCGAGCCATTTAAATCAATATAAGCTATCATGAAACATTTTACAGAAAGTATAGCACTTTATCTCACTGTTACATGATGAAGTAGTCTTTTTCCAAAAAGAATGAATTGTTTTTTTTCTCTGGTGTGTGTCTAAACAGTATGTGCATGTACATAAGTGTGTCAGTGTGTGTGTGTGTGTGTGTGTGTGTGTGTGTGTGTGTGTTTTTACAATCGTAATCAGGATCAGTACTGTATGAATGAACTTGTGACTTGTGGTAAAAACTTATTTTTCCAGTATAGCTCCTGAAAAAGATAAAGTCACCACCCTCTGCTTTCCTGAACTGGAGACACAAGCAACATGTAGCATCTAATCACTGAACCGGCTCAGGTGAATCCACTCGTTTCAAATCACTTGTCTGATTCAATTAGTTTGAAACTTTGTCCTGTCCATTCTGCATGGCCTGCTAAGCATCTAAGTGATCGACAGCAGAGACATCCCTCCCTCTTAGGTCGCTAAAAAGGTATCCTCAGCCTCTTATTGGACCACAGAAAACTTCAATAAACCGTCAGCTTCCCGCTGGTGTCACTGACCCCGCCCTCCTTCTGCATCCTCAAGGCAACCATTGAGGCAGTGGTCGTCACTCCCGAAAGCACCCTGGGACTGCAGCAGCTCATATTCCTGGTCCAGGAAGTCTAGGCTGTTGTTGCTAGGCAACCCACGGATGGTGAACTTGTGGGACACTTTGGTCCACTGCTCCCGATTTGCCGCTACTCGCTCGTACAGCTCAGTGGCCCCAGGAAACAGTTCAGACAGCAGCCTAAAAGGACAGAGGACAGTGATGGCACACGAGTAAGGATACAGTTTATATACACAAAAATTCTGCACATCTATTTCATGAGGCAGGTGCGTAGGAGTGGGATGAGTATCCAAAAGTAGAAAAGATAAATTCCCACATACTGTCTTAACTAACGTTTATTTGCAATGTTTCAGTACCAGACCATCATCAGGTACTACACCTAATAATTATATTAAAAAACATACAATAGTATAATATGATATACTTTTACTACCACTATAATAGTATATATATTTCAGATATTATGACTAGAGGCAGCTTATGTACACCAGTGGTACCATAGTTTGAGAACCAGTACTGTATGTCTTATTGTAAGCTGTGTTATATCATGTACTTGGCATAACTTTACAGTTAAACTGCATTATTAGATTTTTTGGCCACTTGGTGCAACAAGCTGCAGATACAACGCTGACACGTTAGCTTTTAAAGTTCATATGGCGAACAAGCAAATAGTTTCTTATTTAAGTGTCCAGCAGAATCAACATTGACATTTTGAGTCATATTTCGAACATGACTTTTTTGGCTCTCTCTACCAACTCCTGAAGGAACTATCTGGTTGCTAAATGCTCCACCATGCTAACCAGCTCGTCTTGTGTCTGTCTGCTGTGAGGTAGCATGCAAAAATGCCACTGATGAGACCAGTGAATTAAACAGTATAAAGTTGTGGAGCCTTAAAACTGAAAAAATGAGCTGAAAGATGCTAAAATGCAGAGTCTGGTACATATGACCCCTTACACATCAGGCATTTGATACAATGTTAATATAAAAAATACAAATTAGAGCAGCTTCAAATAATGAAAAACTGAATGAAATATACTGAATAAAATCCAATGCAGTTAACAATTCTATATTTCTGATGGACATAGACAGAAGATTCCTACTTGACTTTTTAATTTTCATATTACTCTCCCTGTGTTCAATACTTCAGTCCTAAGACAAAGTGATTAAATGGATCAGGGTTGGGAGGATGTGAAGTTTTTCGTACGCACTTGTAAATGGGCATGGCGATATGTTCCATGAAGCTTATCTGTAGTTCTGGGATGTACGCTTTCTCTCTGTCCATCATCTCACTGGGCCTGTTCCCCATGGCTTTTTCCTGCACACACACACACACACACACACACACACACACACACAGACAGACACAGGCAGACATGAGTAATGAGCTCACTATTGTGTAAAATGACACACACTTCAGACTCTTGCTAAATAATTTCACATGCCATTTAACAGCCGGTGTACACTGACACATACCAGATCTCCTTGAGAGAAGAACTCTTTATAAATCAGCTCCTGTGGACACACAGAGTCACAATGGCATCGATTAAGTTAATGTGACACAATAAAGCAAAAAATATAATCTGTAATATTAAAATATAAACTCCATTATAACATATTTTGGGGGCAAACCAATTGTCAGTACTGAAGTTTGGATTTTCATTTAACTTAAAAACAAGCATAAAACAATAATAGAATAAATAAATAGAATATTTCAAGCTACTACGCAATACCATACGACACCTTAATGCCATATTTGATTCAAACCTGGTGTTTCACACTCTGGGGTTTTAGCGTTGGGAGGGACTTGCAAATATTACTGTAATTGGACCATGTTGAATCACAACAATGCTACAAGATAGTCATTATTACATTCATTACATGTTAATATTTGGCATTATTGGGGTTTTTTCATTAATCCCTGTGCATATTCTGGCCACTGAGAAAATAATGTAGCAACTGAGATCAAAACAAGCCAGACCCTGAATTAAATAGAATGTGTTTTGGGAGTAAGGATTACAGTGCGTTTGCTGTAGGTGTTCAGGGTTTGGAGATTGAGGGTGCAGGATTTAGGACAAGGGTCAAGGGTTTGACAAAGATTAAACATAATCCTAAAATGGAGTGAATATAATGGAATATAGACTGAAAGGTTGTTCCTGTAGAGCTAAGCATCTCATAATCTTTATTGTCCCGCAAATGGGTCAGTTTATTGTATAGTCATTACGAATTGGAAATCTTTAGGAAGGCACTGTTAAAAATAGGAGCTGCTACTACACGTCAACTAACAGAAACAGTGAATACGCTTTCTGAAACTTGTTTTAAATGACAGAGCAGTGTGTGGGACAACTATAATTACCACTATTACTTTGACTACTAGACTTATGCAACTAGTGCTGCACTAATTACTAAATATCAATATCAATATTTGTTCACATTACAAGGTTAATGGACTAACACTGAGATACATTTACATGATTGAATATTTTACATTATACTCATATATGTACTAATGGCTGTTACTGTTATTCCCCAATTTAAACATATTTCCTAATGTGGTGACAAATAGAGGTATGCTTTTGTGTAACAGTTCGTCGTATAGTAAAAACTAAACACACTTAGCTACATTTGGGGTATATAAGTGTAGACATTTGTGTAGACTTTGAACTGACAGCAATCTTGCGTGTTGTTTTCCAACCCTTGGTTTGGTCTGACAGGTCACACGATGTCATCAATAGGCACAGCAGCATCGAGCGGTGGGTACGGCTTTTTGGATTGTATCCATCTGAAACACGCACATTACAAAAATGACTATCTAAGCTGTAGTTGGTTAGGCAGTGAATTATATGAAAGCTTTGTGAAGATTTGAAGAAACCCATTGGTAAATTCTCTAGCCAACAACTTTACACCGCCGTATAATTTCAGATTGAAACATTTAACTTCATGAATTTATCTAAGCTCAAAATGCCCAATTAATATATATTGAGAGATACTGATGAACAGAAGTCATAACTGTGTGTTAAGTTTGTGTGTTTGCTAAGTAGAAATGATGTTGTGTGGCAACTTAACATTGTATATTTCCATTTTTTGGAAGTTTGGTCGAACTATTTTTGTCCATGATTGACAAGTTACAAACTCTGAGTGTTGCTCAACTCATTTAGAAGCTTTTAATGTCCTTGAATTGCTTTAACAGCACAAAATTGATTCCACTGAGGAGACATCCACTCAGGATAACTTATAATTGGCTGCATTCAGGCGTAACAAACCGCTGGCCAAGAGGTTACAGCCAATTATATTACATAAGAGTGCAGAAAGCAACTGTCTCCTCAAAAGGGTAAATAGTCCAATAAAAGTAGGGGACTAATAAGAATGTCAGTGATGAATACAGCAAGTTTGACCTCAGATCTCTGAAAAATAAGTCACTTAATGAAAATCTAGAGTATGTATGTGCCTTTTATGTGGTGTCAGGAAGGGAAACACACTGGAGAGGAAATGGTTTCAGAATTTCACAGTCAGTATGTCTGTCATTGATTAATGGACATAAACTGTTTACCTTTCTAATACTGCATCCTTTAAATATCATTCATGTTACATGTTTTCTCTTGAAACAGCCTGTTCTAATTCAGGTAAAAATAGAGCTGTTGGTTTTATTTCACAGCTCTGGACCAAGCATATGAAGCAAGCCTTCTTTTTGCTGTTCAGGTTTTCAGTAAAAAGCAAAAGTAGAGATGTGGCTGCGCATACTGAACTACTGGGACGTACCATCAGCCATCTTCTGCAGGTCCTTGAAAATGCGAAGGTGGTGAGCCAGGTCTGTAGCCAGAATGATGTCTCTAATCAAATCCAGCACACGCTGGTAGTCCTAAAAGACATACAAAATATCTTTAGCTTGCACATACAGTGATAGCAGAATCTAGTAAATGCAAATGGATAGAGAAACAAAGAGAGACATTTGTAATGAGTGAATGTTTGATTTTATATCTTACCTTTCTGGAGAACTTCTCAAAAATGTTGCAGCCACAAGTGTTCAGAATGGCGATGGCCTGGGCAAAGTGATGTCTCTGTCATGGAAAATAACGCACAATGGGAACATGAATGAGTACATTTGAAAATGCTGCTTTTAAAGGAATGTTGAGTCATGTTGCAAATCAGCAAGAAAAGCCAATTTACATGTCTCCCATTGCCTCATCACTGAAAAAGGAATTAAAGTTTGATTTTGGCCACTAGGTGTCGTACAAGCACAAAACAACATGAGTAACTCACACACACTGAAGTTCATCAACTAGAAAGGGACAGACGAATAAGAATAAGAATTATACTGTCTCAATCTATAAGGGACAAGTAAAATTAAAACACCTCTCAGTATAATGTCATCCAGTACAAGACCACCATTAACTCAATCATAAACATAATAAATTCTGATCATTATAAGCTTTGAAATGGTAGAATTTATGGCAGAACTGTTGTATTGAATTGCAATAGACTGTTGTGATCTACCTAATAAAACGACCACGAGTGTAAGAGCAATTCATATTCATATAGGCACAAATCCCTCATGCTGTTTGAAACATTGTCAGCTCTCCCACATCTCTGTGATGTGATGTAACTGGTGTGTGAATTTACCTCCATCACAGATCCCTCTGAGCTGTAGAGAGCAGCCAGCACAGATTGCTGAAAACAGAAACAGATAGACAAATGAAACACAATCCCTTTAGTGTACACATCATATTGATTCAAATGACACAACATTCTTGGATAAAGCGAGCTGTCTTCTCTTTAACTATACTTGTCAGCTCGAATATGAATCTTCAAATGGAGAGAAACATAAAAGAAGCTGAAGAAATGATGACCTTTGTTGCATAATGACAGTTGGTGTGTGTGTCATTTAGGTGCTGGAGGGTTATGTATGATTAAAGTGGAGCAGAGCAACATGCTTCTAATCACAATGACGTCTAGTGTCTCACTGGGGCAAATTCACATGAGGATACACAACCACAGATTTCACTGTAACACACCCGGAGCCTGGCTCTTATTGACGTGCTCCATCCTGAGCATCTAAAAGTCAATTTTTAAAGTGTAGGCGCAGTGCTGTTCGACTGCACTCTACATGTTTGGGAGGTTTAATGTTTTTATTCTCCCTTTTTCCCTTTCTTTGTATCATTTTTGCAGAAACATAGACATGATTTGTGCTCTTACTGAGGCGACTTGGAAAGAATTGTTGGTGCCACGGTGGTCCAGGTCATGGCACATACAGGAGACAAAGAGAGCTAGAATCTCTATATCCCTGAAAAGATAAGAAGTAGGAAGAAAGACGAGGGTTAAGGATAAAAACAATGACCTTTCTAGGTACTTGTGGGTTAGTTCCTGTAACAAAAACAATGCAACAATTCAATTTCTTACATTTTAAGAGTTAGTAAAGACCAGCGTGTAGGATTAGTGACATCTAGAGGTGAAGTTGCGGATCGCAACTAACTGAACACCGTTTTTGTATGTATTTGATGTAACTTGATGTAACTATCCGTTCTAAGGTAACGAAAACACAACAATTCTTCTTTTCAGGTGATTATACACTATTGAAAACATACTTATCCATATTCAATTTCTGTCAATAGATCCTTCTAAAGACTGGACTTTTAAAGAATTGGGAGCAGAGTGTTATAAAAACTTACTCGAGGTAGTTGGACAGCCCTAGGTTTTTGTAGAGCAGGTAGCAGAAGTGTGAGACAGAGAAGGCGTGCATCCAGTTGTGGTATGGAGGGTCCCTGTAGCCTTTCTTCACCATCAGACAAAACCTGACACCAAAGCAGGAGTTTAATTATCTACAAAATATCCTGCAACTAGTGGCAGATGCAGCACATGTTAACTGACTGATTTCAGTATGACTTATGGACCATGTTCGTTGTTGTTCAGTTCTTTTTTGTCCATCAACCCACCAATCCCCAAGTTTAAAGAATAATTTTGGTTTTAAACATATATTCCAATCAATTTCTGCTCTGCTGATTAATTTTTGATGAAAATCTTTTCAAGGACTATATTTTCTTATAGTCGACGGATAAAAACCGCAAAACACTCAAAGCTTGTCTACCCCAAACAAATTATAAAGCAGTTGACAAGAATGTGATCAGATGACGGAAAAGGATTAAAAATCAGAAACTAGAGATCATTTTATTAATGCAGTAAAGTAACTGTAGGACACACTCATACACACAGACTCTTATATTCAGTATATGAATTGATGGAGTTGTCAGACCTGGCGAGAGTGTGCAGGTCAATCTTGTATGTGTTGATGAAACCCATGTCTTCAAACATGCTGAGGATGCACTGCAGACACACACAACAGGATCAGTTACATCACTTTTGTCTCTGCCTCTTCCGCTCTGTGTCTCTAATCTCTGCTGTCTCTCTTTCTCACTGTTTTCTCTTAACCTCTGGTCCTTACCAAGGGTGTGGTGTCATCGGGAAGGGAGCGAGGTGTGTATGTGAACTCAGCGTAGCAGGGGTGGATCTCCATCACAGGTTCAATCCCTGTCACCAGCAGCTTAGACACCTCTTCCTCTGAAACCTGGAACATACACATACTGAATCATAAGGAGTAAATAATATTGACAGTGTCAGTAAACACAATGTGTCTGTGTGCCAGAGTGAGTGAGATGAGCAAATATGATTTTACCTTCATATGGTACATCATCATTTCATTGGCTAGGTGGGATCTGAACTGAGCTTCATGGACTTTCTTGTAGAGCAGAGACTAGAGAAACAAACACATAACAAAAACACTATAACAAAATCAATAGTTTTGTTTATTATTGTCACAGATACATGGCTACAATAGGATGTACAGCTCAGTTAGAGCACCAGTAGTAGCACAGCCAAGAACTCTCTTCTTTTCTCTTTTTTTTTCTTTTGACAACACTTGCAAAGATAATTGCATAGACTGAAATTGCATTTGATCTTTGGCATCCAAAAGAGCTTAATTTTAAAGCAAAGTTTTATAACAATATCTCCAGAAAATTGGAAAGAGCCCCAGCAACAGTCGTGGCTGAACCCATTTTAGTCCTTCATGTTAATCTACTTGGGTACACTAGACACAGCTTTGTGTCTAGTATACTAAACAATATAAGTCTGACTGAATGCTGCTTACATTGCAGTACATAAGGGAAATCCTTTTTACAACCCACAGCATTCTGTACACCATGATGCAGAGTGAGCATGGATAAATAATGCATTTGGTCATGTTTAAATGATTAATGAGGTGCCCAGAAAGCAATTATTTTTCCAATCAAATATCTTTATAGTTTGTGGATAAACTATCAAGTACCTGCAGTCATTCAAAGGTCAGACGCTACATGAGCTTCTTAATATGAAGGTGAATCTGAATAAAATATCACGACAACTGTACTCTAAGTCTAAACATGTATTATTATTTAATTATTTATTATTATTCAATTCATCTTTAAATTACTCAGAGGGCATTGTTAGAGGCTGTAGAAAACAGGCCAGTTACATAAAGCAAATCAATTTTAATCAACATTTCCACGATATTCTGGTAAAAGCTGAAAGGGGGCCGCAATAATGAGAAATATTACGTTTGATCATCACATACTGAAAAACCTGTTAAAACCCTAACGATCTTTCAATAGCTTTGCAGCAGTCACACAATGCCTATGAACTGCACCATTAACGCCACTCAGCTCCATCACAAATTGAATCTCTTTAAATTTCCCTCGAGATTTCCCTTGACTTTTCCTTGACTGAGCATTTTGCTCCCACTGAACTGATCCATTTTGCCAGCCAAGATCGATTTCCCTAACAGCACTAACAACAGATCTAACACACTGTTTTAAGAAGTACGAGGCTCCTAATGACGGATATACTGTAAATGCTTATTTTCTAAACTTTCTTCTGTGCCTCTCTATGCAGTCAGATTTAATAAATGATTATAAAGGTGTATTATACTTGCCTAGATGACATACATTATCATCCCTGACCAGAGATCTGTGGCTGTTCAACATTGAAAAAACAGGAAATTTAAAGGGTCATAGAGAGTCAGTTCTTTCAGTGGGAGTAGACTTACGTGGGCGATGCTGATACCGCAGTAGATGGAGAAAGCTGTGGCAAGGTCCTCGTCAAAGCGGTTGAACCACGGCCCATTCATTTTATTCACCAACTCAGCCACCCCGATCACCTCTAGAAGAAGGAGGATTTAAAAAAAAGGGTGAAGAGGACAAAAGTAAAGGTGGAGAGAGGAACGGAATAAGAAGGTGAGACATTGAGGGAGGCAATGAGTTGAGAAAGGAGAGAGGGACACAGAGATGGATGGAGGGAGAGAAAGTTGATGATTGAGAAAAATGGAGAGTGAGAGTGAAGGACGAGAAAATGAGGCACACAATGCAACAGTCAGAGGTGCAGAACAGACGTTGAATCAAATAGGTCTGCTAACTTCAATTAATTTCACCCTGGAGCTGAACCTAATTGCACATAAAAAGATCTGAATTGAAACTCGTAATGTGAGCTTCAGACAGTTTTCTATATAGAGACAAATCACACAGAATCGAAAGTTTGTCTGCAAGAAGTCGGGAGCGCCATCAGTATGGCACACACCGAAGATAGTTACCCCTCTAAAGTGCACTTTATGCACTTTAACATTTAGGAATGTGATGTAACAACTCTTTGTGCTATTCTGAGAGAGCACATGTGTAGCTTCGTTTTTTAAAGGAAAAAGAGAAGAGTAGGTTTGTACTGTAGAGGACAAAAGAGGAACAACTACCAATAGTGCAATAAAGCTTATTTTACAGAAAAAGTCAATATTGGCCATTAATACATTATCAGTAGCCCTGCTATTGCATTATTAATGCATTATTGGGCTTTACTAGGGCAACTGGGATCCTCCCTTTACAGATAACAAATGTCTTAAAACAGCAGAAACTTAACTTTTTATGCTCTGAGCTGCTGGAACAGTCTCCAATTTGTCTTACTGTTTTATATTTTCTCTTTCCTATTATCAGCTTGTCATTCACCTGCAAAGCACTTTGAATTGCACTTACCTCCACGAAAGGTGCAGTTAGATTTAGAACGTATTTAAAACAGACATTGTATGTGTGTGTTGAGTGAAGGTGTTTTATTTAGTTTTAAAGTCACTGTTACTACCGTTGTTCTCGTCTTTGATGGGGAAACAGAGGATGTTACGGGTCCTGAAGCCGGTACTGTCGTCCACACCGCGGTAGAAGAGAGGATGGGAATAGGCGTCCTTAATGTTCAGGATCTGACCAGTGGTCGCCACGTGACCTGCAATACCCTGATCCGCTGGAATACGAAACTCCTTCTGCACTCGTGCCATGCAAACACGCACACGCAAACACACACACACACACACACACACACACACACACACACACACACACACACACACACACACACACAAATGCTTATGTCATCAAAATACATTATTTTTTTTAACATTTTCACTTTTAATTGGTTGTTGACAGTCAGACAGAAAATGAGGGCGAGAGCATAACAAATGGCATGCAACCACGATCCCCTAGGGGTTTCAGGCACAATGTAGTCTGGATGGGGACTTATTGCATGTCAATCCCTATTTCTCTCTCTCGCATGTTCTCCTGTCTGTCTCTACTGTCAACTCTGTAAAAAAGGCATGAAATGTCCCTCCAAAAAAGGTCAAAGGAAAGACACAAAATAAACCATAATACTGTGTAAAATAATCAGCATATTAGATGAAATGTGAGTTGTACCTCTTCGTCACTAACCACGCCCCCGTCAAACACCTTTGCCACCAACTCATGACTGACTCGATCCAGCAGGAACACTGAACAACTGGAGAAACACAGGGAGCGAGACAGAGTTAGAGGGGTAATGGAGAACAGAGCAAAGCAGAGAAAATGAGAGTGTTTTATCTCATTTCATCTCAGGTCATTTTTAAACTTTAATTAAATGCGGCAAGTCAGTTAAGAGCAAATTGCCACGATAGCCTTTTCAAATGGAGATAAAGACATTCACACCACACACGCACAAAGGCACTCTCTCTCTTGCACACACACACACACACACACACACACACACACACTGAAACACCCCTTTGAAGATGAATCAGAGGGCTTACATCTCTGCATCACTGAGGTTCCTGGCCTCCACTATAATTTCCTGTAACAGCACTGACACATCATCTGAAAGAATTAGAGAGAGAGAGAGAGAGGGAGAGAGGGTGAGAGAGGAAATAAAAGGAAAACAGGGGAAATTAAAGAAATACAGCAAAGCTCAGATAGGCAGAACCAGAGGTTACACATGAGTACCGGTGGATCAGCTGCACGAGGTTATAAGAGCTTTTCTAATCAACGGTTCGGTACAGTGAAAGGCAATTTGCTCTATCAGTGGATCCATTTTTTGTACCCGCAATCATGATGAATCATCAATGCTTCTACTGTAGGTGCTTAATGTTAGATATGAATCTAAATGCCTCGGTGTAATTAAAGGATAGAGAGGTGGAGCCATCATTTTTAATGCCCTTTTGATTTTATGGTTATGATCCTGGGTGTAATCACCTTTAGGGTCGGTAATATCTCATTCAATTACGTGCGGCATTCGTTTCACTTGATGATCACTTAAATATCGGCCATTAAAACTAATTGTCCTACAACGTTCTTTCTTCACAGAGACGGAGAGGGGAATAACTTACCCAAGTGTGTGAAGAGATTCTTGGCCACTTGTAAGAGTGCCTATGGAGAGAAACAGTGCACACAAAAGCTTTTTAAAGGGCAACTTCATGTATATTTATGCATGCATACAATATGTGTGTGAGAGTGTGTGTATGAGGGTGTGTGTGGGCATGTGCAGTACCTGGCACTCCACTTTGAGTTTCTGTTCTTTCTGGAAGGCCAAAGTTGAAGTGAGGACCGTTGAAGTGTAGCAGAAACAGTGCTGGATTGCATGCTCATCTGCCTCTGTGTGTCTGCAGTGGGGAACACACACAAACAAACACAAACACAAAGTCTGAATTTAGACAGAGCTAATAGGCAGCTGTGGCACTCTTATTACCAAACGTCAGATATTCACATTATTTATATGTTGTGTGATCTCCTGTTGCTATAGTTAAGTAAAACATGTTTTCAGTTTATACATTTTGCACTGTTATAGATCAAATACCCATTAATGAATACAAATATTAGATAATACAATTATACACCACTCTGAATGGAGCAATTTTACATAATCCATAAGTTTTGCTGCAAATACTTATGTACTTTTACTTAAGTAAAGATCTCAGTACTTCTTCCCACTGCATTTTAAAGATAAAAACAATAAATTAATTATTTTGTAAAATAATCTGTAGATTAATTGATAATGATCCTTAGTTGCAGCCCTAAACGGAAGCTAAAATGCATAATTATTGACTATTATAATATGTCTAAATGGCTCTGTCACTCTCCTTTTAAACTAAATGACATGAGAACCTGCCAGCATTAAGCAGGCAAGTGAAGACTGATGAAGGAAATGATCTGCGGTGACCACAGTGACGCCAGTAAGTGCCTGCAGTTATCGCTCTCTGCCTACAGAGGGCAGTGGCACATTATTGTGTTGATTTTAGAGCAGTTTTTAGCTCAGTGGTTTTTCTTACCCAGAGCTTAGACTCTCAGGAATCCTAGCAAAGGAGGCAGGATTTGAAAAGGCCTGGGAAACTCAGTTTAAGGGCAATTAAGTTCACTCTCCCACAAGACAAACAAATCCTCTATGGCTGACATTCATGAGAGTCACACGGAGCAATAGTCTTCAGCTTTGAAAGTCAGGCTGGGGGATAATTTTCCGTGGCACCAGCTAGTTATTTGCAGTGACGATAGAAAATAGTCTCCATTTCCTTAGAAAGAATGAAAACCAGCAAGAGTCCACTTCCAAAGACCAGACGTTGGATACACACAGTAAGAAAGAATACATTTTCCACAAGGAAACTGGTATTTATGTAGAATGACTGAAATGAATGTGTGTATGCTGTTTGGTTTCGTGTGACACTGTCGGGTTGTTTTTCTCAGAAATGATTCCAACATCCAACTAATACGGCCATCCTAACATCGCTGCCAACTTCACTATCAAATATAAAACCTCATCCTGTGTTGGCCTCAAATATCCTCAAGCTCCTAAAATGTTATCATGGGTTTGGGTTATTGTCTCCAATATATTTCTACCTATTCTTCTAGCAATGCCATACTGTGCATTCTCAACCTGCTCTGTGCGTAAACAAGATTAAATGATGTTTGTGTGCAGTTTTCTTATCTGGTGGCACCAAGTTATGGACCTTTTACTGGTCCAACAATATGTTTTCATGCACCTGTGTGCTACGGTAAGAGGCTGAATTACACTTTTAGGAGAACCAGGCAGAGGAAAGTTCCCACAAACTCTGTATATGAATATGCAATCTATATGACGAGGAGATGCATCTTTGAGATATATGTCTGTACTAAAATCTGGATGACTGAGCTTGGAGCAACGGATAGATTTATCACATTTTATGCACAGTTGCGACCATAATCCTGCTGCTGTTACTATGGTAATGAGATGCCAGCTCTGTCATCAGTGCCACTGGCAGAGGGAGAAATTATAGGACATGATCCCTTCTCATCTATCTTAGTCTTCAGAGAAAGAGAGAGGATTGTATGTGAGTGCAAGCGTGTGTGAAAGTGTGTGAGTGTGCTTGTGAGGTGTGTGTATGTGTGTGTGTGTGTGTGTGTGTGTGTGAAGTGTGTTTCAAGAAAAAAAAGATAAAATACACCAATTTCCCAAAAGTAGAAACATAGTGTATGGTGATAGATAGATATATAGATAGATGATAAAAACACATAAAAAATCAATCTCAGCATACCACAATGATACAAAATAATCTTTGTCAAACACACAGACACAGCTGGAGAGCATTTTATAGACTTTTGTAGGTGATAGAAGCATTGCTCCTGGCAGCATCACACAAACACACAAATACATGCCAAGACATGATGCCAAACCAGGCAGCCAAGCCACCCGATGTTAGACTCATGACCTGACTCTAGATCATCACACAGCCATCTGTATGGTCACACTCACTCACTCACTCACTCACTCACACACACACACACACACACACACACACACACACACACACACACACACACACACACACACACACACACACACACACACACACAGACTGGGTGATTTGACACAGGCTCCAAACTGATGGTATCCATTCACAAGGGTCATGTCGCACATACTGCTGGTTTTTAGCAGTGCACTTTCAATTCTCCCTAAACTCTACAAATCTGAGCTGTTGAGCTCAACCAATCAGACTACCCATCCCAACATTACTGTAAGCCGCTGTCAGATAAATCTTTGTATCTAACATGAGTCAACGCTTCAGGAATTAGGCAAAGCCAAATCATCTTCAGACTGACATCCTAACATTTTAAAAAATACTTCTGCAATATGTCGTCAGTGGCTAAGTTAGGTTAAGCTATATTGGAAAATGTCTGTTTTTGCCCGTAAGAACTCTACACACAACCAAAAAGGAAAAAAGGTTAATGAAAGCTTAGAGTACGAACACATACGTACCTCTGCCCACCCTGCTTGTTAAAGGCGCACGCTAGCGCTACCACCTGACTGGTGGCCCTGCTGGCCACTGGGACACAAAGCATGGAGGAGATCTCACAGCCCAACATACTGGACAGCTGCCTACGCTCCTCCTGATAGGAAAAGAGGCAGAACAGTTCAATGTGAAGACAGAAAAGATAGATAGATAATAATAATAGATAATTAAAAAAATTGTCCTCACAGCACTGATGTCCTGAAGAGTAATTGACTTCTTCTTCTCCACAACCTGACCAAAGCGTCCAAACATCAGCTGAACAGAGCAGAGAAAAGGAGAGACATAAGAAACGGGGTGAGTGAAAACTGAGGGAGGTAAAGAAAAACAGTGTAATGAGGGCGAGAGATGGGAAGAAAGCAGAACTGAGTCCTTGAGACTCTGTTAGGGGTAAAATATATAAATAAAGGTTGTTTATTCTAAGTGAAGTCTATCACCTCCCTTGTTTAATTAGCACAAACAGACCATCTAGGGTGTGTTTATTTGTGTCCTAATATCTCTCTACACCAAATACTATCAAGATTTCACACATCATTTAGCCTGGGGTACACAGTCGATCTGCACTGTAATTGATGTTAAAAATGCTACGTCTGCACCACAACCAGGGACAGGAGACTTAAAGCGACTCAAAGGAAGTGATTACTTCTCTTGCCCAAATTTCTTAATTATAACCCTTGCCAAAGGATTATAAAAGATTACACGTGGGAGGTTTATTCTACCGTGTCTGTCAAAGAAACCATCACGCTGGGTTACAACACATGCATTAAAAGTATGCTTGTTAAAAACTGTAACAGACCTCCCTGAATATACCTCTGTGTAAAAAACACAAATGAATGCAGGAACAAACAATAAGTAATAAATGGATGACCAAAGATATGCACCAGAAAGGACACAAATAAACTAATAAATGCAAATAATGACAGAATTAATATTTGTATTAATAAATTATTGCGTTAGTTGGCCTCACCGGGAAGCTGATCTCCTCCTCCAGGACTTTGTCTCCAACTACCTAAAGGTCAAAGGGGTCAAATGTCATGGGTTATTCAATTGTCAATGCTCAAATTGATGAGTCATTGCTGAAATGGTAGATGACTTTTGTCTGTGTGTGTGTGTGTGTGTGTGTGTGTGTGTGTGTTGTAGGTGTGTGTTTAGGTTTGTGTGTGTTTAGGTGTGTGTGTGTGTGTGTGTGTGTGTGTGTGTGTGTGTGTGTGTGTGCCTGTACCTGGCAGAAAAGCTGGTGGTTGTCCTCAGACACCAGTAGCAAACAACAACACTGCGACTGAGTCTGTTGCTGCAGCTGAAAGGGAACACAAACACAGTATCAGTCCCAATATATATATATCATCACAAAAATCTCTCTTCATCCGACTCAGTCAGATTGTTTTTAAAGCCTCAATTTAAGATTCCTTGGAGCACAGTCTATGTGTGAAGATAAGATTAGAAATCACCGGACAGTGGAAAATGATTTGAGCTGGGGTGGGTCAAGAATTAAATATTATCTTCATTGTCTTGCAGTAGCATCAAATAGTGAATACACGTTTGGATTATTTACAGGAAATACAAATTAAATATCACACATAATAAAATCTGGAATTAATGAGTAAACGTCTAATGTAGCAGTGATGAGAGGTTTTATTAATTTTTCAAAGTAAATGGTCAATAATCATACATATTTCCAGTCATATGTTTATGTTGGTAAGTGTCTATATTTAAGGTCTTAGATTCTTCTTCTCTTAATAAGTGATCATCTCGTCTAGAGTTGTTTCTGATACCGATACCAGTATTGGAAATTACTCCAATACTGCCTTAAATGCGGTAGTATGGAGTATACGGGCCGGGCCTGTGCACCAATCCAATACCATGTAATTTATTATCCCCGAAATGGGACCCTGCTACTCTGATATATTTATATTTATGATATATTAACCTCTTTATTGACACACATGTATCAGACTGGTACTCGGTATCGGATGATACATCAAGTTTAGGTATTGGAATCTGAATGAGGAAGAAACTCTAATCTCTTTAAAACGTTCATAACTTGTAAATAACAGAAAACACAGTAACATGCTTTTAGACCAAGATCAAGGTTTTCCCTTGAATGCGAAATCCCTATAAACAAATCAAACACACACACACACACACACACACACACACACACACACACACACACACACACACACACACACACACAGGTGTCTGTGGGTGTGTAAACAAAGGGGTGTGTATTCACTCTCTGCTGCTGTAAGACCTGCGGAGCTGGAACTAATTTCCTGCTGCTGAAATATTTTATTCACCTTCATAGACTGAAATTCACTCTGACGTGGGAAAACAAACACCTTGTACACACAAATACTGTAGGTACACGTATGATCACAACATACATGCACACACACACACAGTTATAGGAGCAATGTTTTCTTACACATCATTCTCCCCTTTAATCCACAGAGCTGGATGGAGAACAAGCAGGACAGGGATAAACACCAGCCACTGCCAACACGCTCGTCCCCCCCAGTCACACACGCAGGCACTCAGTATGCACACACATACTCACATACACATGCAGCACAAACACACACACATAAAGCATGTCGCTGCACCCACATATAATAATAAGCCCCTCAACCCCCCTTTTTCCCAAATGCTGTTAATCCCATAAGAGCCGCCCCAAGCACTTCCCACCAAACTGACGATTCTTCAGAAGCAACAATATCCCGTTCCGTTTCCTCCCTCCTCTCCTCCTCCCTTTCCCTCCTCTCCTCCTCCTTCTCCCCTCGCCCCTTTTTACAACTGTAACAATGAACAGGGAGAATCATGTCGGATTCAAAATACATCTTAAAACCCCTGCAGCCTTTTTCCCCGATCACGTCTCCCTCTCCTTTCCCTCAGATGCAGGGAAAAAAACTACTACAAATTCTGGTTTAGTGCCATCAATAGCTGATGTTACTCACAGGCTGTAGTGCTGCAGCTGTGTTGTTTGACTCCATGGGTCTAGTCCTGCACCATCAAGGTAGCACAGGTGCAGGGAAGGTCAGGTAGGTGATAATTGTTTGGATTTGACCGCTTTCATAGAAACATACCCTGTTTTTTCAAAAGGACCAGATTCTTTACATCCCCCATGATTTTATGCCACAGAGGACTCTCATCACTGCAGTAAATGAGGTCTTCTTTTTACTTTGACAGAAAACATAATAGAAAATGAAGAAAAAAGGCAAAAATGAGCTTCTGATTATGCACCAGAGTCCCTTTAATTAAGTTCCAATTTAAGAAAAAACAGTGCTTAAACCACAAAGGGTATTTGTACAATCAGATTTTAACATTTTTTGATATTATTAAGTATTATAACTGACTTCACTGTCTGCTTTACCAAAATTCAGAACCACAAAAATCTAAACAAGTCCTTTATGTTCAATAAGGAGTGGGAAAAAAGGGTCTGAGGTATGCACAAACATCCACTGGGATTCTCAGAACCTCTGATGGACTGAGACTTTGTTCCTTTGATGCAGTATAAACTTAAAATCTTTCTCCTCGCTGCTGCTTTATCCCTCTCTATCTCATATTTTCTTTATCTCTGAATAACTCCATACATTTAAATTGTTGTCAGGTTTCTGCACATACTGTAGCTGACACCTCCTCTCTCTCTCTCTCTCTCTCTCTCTCCTTCCTCATTAATCTTTACACTTCTCCCACTGCTTCCCTCCTTCTTACAGAGTCCATCATATATATATAGAGGGGGGCATACTATGGGGAGATTGATGAAGTATGTGTGTGATAAAAAGCTTGTGGTATAGGTAATGACAGGAACAGGGGAAAAAGTCACAGGGAAGGATTTCATGTTTTGCATGTACTGTACGACTTTAACTGTGTGTGTGTGTGTGTGTGTGTGTGTGTGTGTGTGTGTGTGTGTGTGCATGAGGGAGTGTATGAGTGATCTCAACCACTTACATAATTGATGACTTTGAGCTGAAGAGAGGCTGCATCAAGGTCAAAGAGCTCACCTGAAGGACAAAAAGAGAGAGAGAGAGAGATGGGAGTAAAAACCCAGAGAGGAGCAAGGACAGACAGGGAATGCAGAGCATGTACTCATGTAGACAGAAAGCAATCCAGGGAGGGATGCACTGAGACAGCGAGGTCGGGGAAGGGTGAACAGGAGCCAGCTAACAGAGGGCCTAATAATGAAGACAAGACAAGAGATGGAGGGTTGCCTGCCTGGACTGCAGATGAAGAGAGAGAAGCAAAGAGCTGGACAGAGAAGCAGAAAGGCGCGGCAGAGGCTGGAACAAACTGAGGTGACTAAAGCAACTCATATTTTTTGACAATTACCAAGGAGTAAACAATGTTGATGTATGTGTGTGTATTAGCCAGTCCACTTCCATTATGCATGAGATGTTAAACAGTGTTTTTGCAAAGCGTTATGTTTTCACACAGGAGCTGTCACACATTCCTCGTGCCACAGACAGAGCCCGTCTAAATTCATAGAGCTTTTTATCCAGATGGGCTTACTCTATTAACATACCTCACCTCTCATACAGCAGTGTGTGTTTGTGTGTGTAATTATGTTTCCCTCAGACTTTTGTGTTTGTATTGACGAGGTGTAGGACATGTAAGGTGTATATGTGTGTGCAACAGAGTGAAGAAGATTTAAGAAGAGTTATTCAATACGCCTTCTGTGTGTCTGTGTGCATACCACAGAGCTGCAGGATGTTGCGGTCCAGTTCGCAGTAGTCCTGGTCTGAGACGTTGAGGTGCAGCAGTGCATTGTGGGACTGTATGGGAGAGGGGCTGAGAGGAGGCCTCTGGTAGGATGTCTGAACAGCCTGGACTCGTACACACGCCGCTGAGGCCTGTGCGTACATCATGCACAGAAACACACATCATCAGACTAAACATAAACAGTTTAACGTCATGTTTTTATCTTTCATCTGGTCATTCTGAGTACCAACAAAAATGAATGGAAAGAGCATTAAAGCAAGCATCACCATATAAAACATCCAGTAGCCACTCATCTTTAAAGGCCACTTCAACAAGCACTCAAAGATGGATTTTTCCTTTATTGATATTGATAAGGTCTGTTGAGGACTGAGGGTGTAATGATATTAACTCTCTTAATAAACAAGCTTTCCTGATTTAGAATCTCAGAAACTTACAATTGAGGGACTATTTTTTCATAGATAATTAATAAAACATAATTTTCAAGTTTTCATACTGCAGTTTACTACTTAAATACTATCTTTACTTTTGTGATTGTTGTGATTTTTGATGTTTATGTAATCTTGTTATGTATTATAATATAATATATATGTTATCATATCTGTAAGTTTATAACCATCTATGTGCCTAGTCCTCATTAGATTAATTAATTAACAAAGATTATGCCTTCTGGTAGAGTATATGCTGTGCTTTACCCGTTCCGTAAAACACCCCGTTGAAGGCTCTGTGCCGAAACATGTTGATTAAATAAAGAGACAACTCTTCCAGTAAGTCAGCTACTGTTGTTTTTTTTTCACATTTATGACCAAAAAAAGACAGAGAACGAGAGAGCTTACATGTTTTTCCAGCACGTTAAGATGCAATTCATCCTGATCAGACAGTGGATTACAGCCCACCTGCAAAACACACAGATTTCAGTCCGGTCCAGTCCACGATGCTGTGTTGATGTAATCTAGTGAATTGCATTTGTTACTTTGGTTTATCAATTAATTGAAACGATATTGTATTTCCCTAAGTTCAAGGACTCACCAGTAAGACAGCGATGGCCTTGTCCCGCTCCTGGTCCAAGATAGGAATGACAACAGCTAAAAGAAAGAAAGGAAAAAGCATTCATAATAACTAATGCATTGACTCAGACAAAACAGACTTTCGGTCCTTTTATCACTCTCCTTTAATTTTCTTTCCATGTCCTTGTCTCGCGTTTAATCTTATTTGTTCTTTCTTCGTGTTCTAATACTAATAGAAATATGCAGGGGAAATGAATGTGGAAAAGAATAAACCTCATGCCCTTGCATACAGTGTTTATTCTTTTCTTCTCTTTCATTTGTTATTCTCATCGCAGATCTTTCTGGACAAAATAATTTCTAAGATAATAATGAGATCTACAACCAACAGAACAATGAGTTTACCACATTGGCAACAAGCTAAATCTTACCTCTATAACATCATTAATTGTTCAGTGAGATTTATGTATGTACTTTAAGATGTCTCCATGATTACATCCCTACAGGTTATTCTCTCATTTTCAGTCTATTCATTTTACTACATTTCAGCATTTCTCATCATAAACCTTTCATTGCATTTTTTTTTTGGAGGGGGGTCTCTTGTACAATTTTACTGCCCACGCGGCTCCATAACTCTCCCTCTGCAATCATCATCTCTTGTTCACTACTTCTCTCTGTACCTCTTTTCGTTTGTTTATTCTCCCACGTTCTCACATCTCTCTGTTCCTCTGCATGCACAGGCGCACGCTCACACATCCTCAAACAAGCACACACACACACAACTCAGATGTTGGTCCATTTGTCTGTCCGCCAATATCGTTCAAGCCCCTCGCTGCACACACACCTCTTCTGTGTGCTGGTAACGGTGCTGCGAGGCAGATTCTGTATTTCTCTGGCAGCTCGGACACAGGAAGACCGGCACACTGACATCGCTTCAGCTGGTCCGCAATACTCCTGAGAAAGACAGACAGATACAAGTTGAGTTTGACTCAGAAAAGGCTATTACCTACAGAACATTAGTCAGAGTGAGAAACGGACAGACAGTGTGTCAGACGCTGGGGCGACAAAGAGGAAGAGGAGATTTGGATGACAATTGGAGCAAATGGAAAAACAATCACCAGCATTGCAAAAACAGATGTGTTGTATTCATTGACACTAACCAAAACATGTCTGAATAGAAGTATTATTCATTCTGAAATTATATGAACTCAATACAACCATTTGTGTGTGTGTGTGTGTGTGTGTGTGTGTGTGTGTGTGTGTGTGTGTGTGTGGGAGCCAGGTGTGATAATGGTGAAGGTCTCTGTATGTCTTATATTTAATACAGAAGGCAGCTTTCTTATGCCAAAATATGAGACAGGGATTTATTTATTCTGGGCTGACTGCTGCCAAAGGACACAAAGACACATTCATTTGCACACACATGCGCAAAACGCACATCTGTGTCACTGAAGGTAAATTCATAATCTATATGCCTCACATAATAATCTACTGAACCCTCCAGCAGCCACACACACACACCCACACACCCACCCACCCACCCACACACACACACACACACACACACACACACACACACACACACACATAGCAGCAGTCACTCCATTACATGCTCACAGAGTCTGAAATCCCCTCGAACCATTGCAGCCAAATCTCTGCATGGTGCATTGATTTAAAAGTGTCCATTTATTTCAGCTCACCGAGGAATAGTCCACTTCAGTCAAAAAAACATTCTCATCGTCGTTTACTACAGTACTGTGGCAAATACAGCTGACCTTTGTGTAATGTCATTGTTCAAAGCAGCTTTCCCGCACAACCATGAACCCAATTTATAGTGGGCACGGAAAGAGCAAAAAACCCACCCCGGGGCGTTAGGAAAAACACTGTTATTTAGTTTTCTCTGCACATATACCTTTTAGATAATAAAATGTATGTTTACATATCTGGTGAGTGGTGTATGGAGATAGCTATAAGGTCAACTAAAGGTACACAACAGTTAGCAGCAACAGCAGCTCAGATTGACACATAGGTCAAAGCTGGCGTGGTGTTTACAGTGATAACAGTAAGCAGTAGCAAAGACTCGGAGATGGACATTTAAACACACCACTCAGATACAGTAAATGTGTGTGCGTGGGTGTGTAGTTGGCACTCATAAAAATCAGCTGATGATTAATTGATCTGGGTGATGCTAATGACTTCATGTTCCTGCTACACTATGAGCTCCATTTGTCGTAACTGCTTAACCATCATTAAGAAACACTGCAGTTCCTAACAGCTGATGGGGTGTTAATGTGCAAACAAAAAATTAAATAGTTAATTCTGATTCAGACCAATCCTGCATCATTATGTCTTTCTCAAGATATATGCATATTTTATTGTGTAATTTTCTGTATGACGTTTTGCACAAAGTGGTCAACAGCGAGTGAAATACTTCCTATCGGGAGGAGCTCTACTGCAACATTTATTAGGCTGTGTGTTTCTCCATACGTTTGATCATTTGTGCATTTTACTCACACAAAATGTAAACATAAAATTTAATAGCAAAATGAAATTCAATATGAATAGTTTTTCTTACAAAAAGGGTATTATTTTAGATGGTACTAAAAGTAACCCACAACTGAAAAGGTTAATTATAGGAAAATAGTTGTGCAACTGCATTGTGTTTGTGTATCACTGTCTTCTGTATCTCTTAGACCTTCGACTGTGTGTCTTCCTTTTGCAGTATTTTCAACAATAGCTTGTTTGGCTATAAGATGTCAGTTATCTTCTACAGAACAAATGGTTTAGAGGATAAACGATAATGGAAGCTATCTTAGCTGAACTTGTTTGTGCTTTTTTATGTGTGTGTGTGTGTGTGTGTGTAAATGTGTGTATGTAGGTGTCAAGGTCCAGTTAATGGGCTTGTATGTATTAGAAAGTGGGCTGGAATAAGGCCTGCTGCCTCTCAGATGGGTTCACTGAGTGTGTGTGTGGGTGTTTGTGCTTGTTTGTGTGTGTGTGTATGCCAAGGTCTTGATAACAGGCTTATATAAGCAGGTGAATTGGAGGGAGAGAAGTAACAAAGTGCCCTGTAGCTCTTTTAATATCCCCACTACCTCGCGCCTGCATGTGTGTGAGTATGTCTGTGCGTGTGTGTGCATACGTGTGGTCTTGTTTGTGTCAGAATAAGGATGTTCGTGTGTGATCCCATGTTTGTGTGGCAATGAGGTGTTGGAAAAAGGGTTCTTGTCTGACAAACAGACAGTTTCATCTATAATGCAGTGTTGGTTTTTGCTGGAGCCTGGGCAACCGTCACAGCAGCACACAGGGTTGTAGAGCTTCAGAGAGCACTTAAGAGAGGAGAGGATCACCGTGTCTTGCTGAGGGACCCCGGGCGCTGTCACCTCAGCTATTAGCCCTGCAACGCTTCCACTGGGAGAGGGATTGAAGGTGAGAGAGAAAGAGGAGCGGCGGGGAGGGAGAGGGGTGTGGGGACCGAAACACAGGCGGCTTAGTGCTTCATGGCCCCTTGGGGGAGAGTGCGGGCTGGAAAAAAAAAAGAGTAACGACTGACTGATGAAGTGAGGTGGGAAGGTGGAATAGCAAATGATAAGAGAGGGAAAGAGTTTGTCAGAGAGACGGAGAAAGATGTGCATTAAGAGAGGAAAAAGTGACATAAAGGTAGAGTTTTTAATGAGAGCAATAGAGATGAGGAATGGGGAAAAGAAAGTAAGAGGTGGTAAAAATGGGAAGATAAGAGAGACGAGGAAGGTCCTCATTTGTCTTGATGATGAGATCATTCTCTGTGACACTCCTGTCTCTGTTGATGATGTGATTTTGGGCTGAGCAGCTCACATTCATACAGGTGACACCTGCTTTTCACACAGAGAAAACATTCTCCGTTTCCCCTCTTCATCACTCCCTTGCTCTACTGTGAAACATCTACGGCTTGCTGCACAGACTGACAGACAGACACACACACACACACACACACACACACACACACACACACACACACACACACACACACACACACACACACACACACACACACACACACACACACACAAAGAGTGCACACCTGATCTTTCCCTCCTGTGGCAGTTCATGTGGCGGGTCGTCTGATAGCAGCCTTGAGTGTCCCTCCAGCATGTAGACGCAGACACACTCCTGGAATGAAACACACACATATACATGCACATTCATTTGTATCATTAATCAGATTCTAATTAATTTAATGAGTGATGAGCCTTATCCATATACTACAAAGACCTGGGCCGTATGTCAGGGCAGAGGCATTTAGCTCCACTCCTCTGAATACTAACGGGAAGCTTTTATTTCAAGTAATAAATTAAGGAAATGTCAATTATGTTCAGATGTTTGTGCAAATGTTTGCATGTGTGTGTATGTGAATACCGTGCTGGGTAGCAGCTCCTGTATGCTGTCTCGGAGGGCCACTCGCAGCGAACGTGCGTCGACAACTGCCGCCAGCCGCAGCAAAGCATCCTGAGGAGGGAGACAAACAGATGCCCTAATGTCTGTTTGGTTGTTTGTTTGTGATCTCAATGTGTGGCTCCAAAAACCTGAGGCCTTGGCAATAATTTCTTTTTTTGGTGGGTACAAGGTTTATGTTGCAACAGCTCTTCCCCAGATATTTAGCTTGGCAGGCTGCAAAGGCCTCTGAAACAATATTTAAACTGTGTCACACTCGGTAAATGCATAGCAGGCTGTGGTTGTTGGAGGCACAAGTAGGGTACTTAAAAATGAACTGAACTCAGACATCGTCAGGGATTACTGGAGTTAGTTTGCTCTTCAGGACACTCAATGCTTTTGTTTCATTTTGGCACTGTGAAAACCAAGCACTTGACAATTTATCTGCAGTGTTTGTTGGCAAGAAGCAGCTGAACATTTGTGAAATGCAATGGTGTATGGCGGCAGTACCGTAAATCTCATGTTTCACAAATTACATAACAGATATTTACTTTCTTATCATTGAGGCATTCTTTGAAGATTGGCTAGAAGCACTTAACTTAAAGGGGAGAGTGCTGGTTATTTTAATTGCTGTCTGCCTCTGATTAGTCTGATCGAATTTAATGAGAGGCAATCTATTTTTATCTCTTTTGACTTTGATAAAACATACTAAAGACAGACAGGCATGAAGGATCTAATCACAGCTGAAACAAACCAGAAGGAAGTAATTTCAAGTCTGGTGTATGCTCAAAACGAACGTGTCCATAGTGGCCATACTGGAAGGTGGGGCAAAAGCTGGCTGCAAAGAAGAGAGGGGCAAAATGCGATGAGTCATACAAGTGGAGGTGTTGCATGATGGTGTTGTAAACATGAAAAGACTGGGCCAATTGCTACATAAAGTGCTTGTCCAATTGTTGGTTTTGGAAAGAAGAAAACCCCCCACCCTCCCAGTTTCCAATGTTAGAAAGGTGTCAGGGGGCGGTGTTTCAGATGCCATGTGTGACTATTAGAGAAGCACTTTGTTTGACGCATACTAACACCTTAAAAGGGACAATATAACTGCAAGGTGAGAGCAGTTTGTTTTCAAGTGCACTTTTTGGTCCTCTCAAAACAACTTTCTACTTTAATAAAGATTAGGTCTGAAAACAGGGTAGACAAGCAGAGGAATGGGAAAAACAGGAGCGCCGATCTGTGATAACAGGAGAAGTTTTATTTTAAGGTCATGGAAGATTGAGTTCGTGCCTCGAGGTTTTTCATTCTCACCTTCCGCAAACGTTAGAAACAGACGTACAGAGCTGCAGCGTCTCACAACCACAACCAACTCTATCTGATGAGTGCTCGTAACATCCCAGGTGACAGCTATGAATTCATACCATGAGAATATTTACACTCTGTGTGCAGTCTACTTAAATCCCTACCAGTTCCAGTTATCACACTGCATTATTATTACATGTAGCCGCAGTCTTAAGAGAGAATCTTCAAAATCTGATCAAAGCATAGAAAAACGCTGGAAGAAATCGCAGAGGCTTAAGATGCTGCAGCTTTTAAAACTGTGTACAGAATATAAAGTGGAAAGAAGACGGTAATGTTTAAAGTATTGCCTTTGACTGCCAGATCATCCTCTTCCAGTTGTTCTGAGAAAGCTGTTAGTCACACAGCCGAGCCGGAAGGAAGAACATCTTTTTCCTTCCTTAAGCATACTATACCACAAAGGTACAATGAGCTGTGCCTGCTGGGGGGCTCGATGTTACACCGAGGGTGTCCATCTGTCACCCTCTCTTTTATCGTTATCCTCTTTTCACACCCTCCTTCCACCCCTTTCTCCTCTGTCTCTCACTCATGTTCAGCCTTGTTTTTGACTGAGAGCAAACATGGAAGACAAAGGAATGGGAGGCAGAGGAGCAGGGAGGAGGAGTTGTTAGTGAGGGAGTGAGAAGGGGTCAAGGAGCGAGGGAGGAGAGAAGAGGAAAAGGAAGAGATGGAGAGAGAGTGGAGAGCCTTGTCATGCCTGAGCACTCAGTGTTGGTTATTACATATGATTAGATATGATTAAATGCGATTAGCTTTGATCACTCAATCAGCCTGCCAGAGTGCTGTTGTAATGAAGTTGGAGCTGTGCCAGCCAATGTGTGTGTGTGTGTGTGTGTGTGTGTGTGTGTGTGTGTGTGTGTGTGTGTGTGTGTGGAGAGAGAGAGAGAGAGAGAGAGAGAGAGAGAGAGAGAGTGTGATGTATCTTAAGCTGCAGATCTTGAAATGCTTGTGCAAATCCTGATAAGTAATGTTCGATGGAAAGTACAGCAGACGAACAGCATACGTATCTGGCTTCCCATCCTCCCCACTCTGCTGTCAAGAACTTGTCGAGGGTTGGCGCTGAAACCTGCCATCCTTTGTGTGTGTGGCATGTAACAGTGTGTGTGTGTGTGTGTTTGTGCATTACTAGCAATAAGATGTATGCCTTGGTAAATGTCAAACTCTATCTTATGACCTTTCACAATCATTTCTTGCCATAAACCTCAAACCATCTGTTATATTAATTTACCTGGTTCTCCACCCATCACTACACACACACATTCTCACAACTACACACATGCACGCACACATACACACACACACACACACACACACACACACACACACACACACACACACACACACACACAATATGCACACACATTCGCCCACCCAATCAAGCAACAGTGATAGCGGAACCTTTTCTTCTATTTTTGCTTAATGAAAGTTCATTTTAACATGATTAATTAATTGTTTTTACCATTTTATCTTAAAATTCACAAATGTACATCCATTTTGTTGCTGTCACGTGAAAAAGCCTAATGTCAGCTTTGCGGGCACTGAAAGGGAAAGCTTTGTTTTTAATTGAACAACATACTTTTAGAGCTCATCCAGTGGGGTCACTGAACCTCCCTAGCAAAAGAATTAGATAGAGGACAATGTAATCCTTCAATTAGTTCAAAACTGAAGCATGACAGTCTCTAAAATTTGAATGAAAACTGCAACATGATTTCATTGCAATAATACAGTTTGTTTTTCTCTAATGCCATTTCAATTTCAATGAATTTGCTAGAGCTTTTATCTGAATTGAGTTGAAAATGCCCTAACAAAGTACATGTATTAATATGGGAGACATCAAATCCCCCCTGACAATGGAGATCCAGACCTCATGACTGGACAATGTGAAGAGCCATTATGATAATGGTGTATATTTATTATATTGAATTATTTCTATTTAATTTTAGAATTACTCTCATATATTCCATATTCATTCTACTCATTGCATTACTGTCATTTATAATTTGTTAACTCATCTGAAGCAGGATGTATCATCCTCCAGTCTCCACTATGCAACAATATGAATAATAACAATAAAATGTTTTTTCTTTAAATGTAATACACACTGTGAATTATGGGACTTTGTTGGCCACCTCTTTTCCTCTCGTTTACCCCCTTCATGCCATCTTTTATCCACACCTCTCTCATTTTTCCATCTGCACAAACTCTTAAATTGTACGTCAATCTCCAAGTTTCTCCTCCTGCTACTCCCCCACTCCTCCTTTCATCAGGGTGTTGTCTTTATCTGCAGCCTTTCTAATCACTCGGAGGACATTTTAAAGGGCACCGGTGATCAGCATAGCTAAACACAAATATTCTCTCTTTATCTTTTTAAGACTCCCCCTCAGACACATGGACACATATTTTCCTTAAGCTCTTTTGTTAACCATCTGACATTTTGTGCATGACACTGCTCACATAAAACTAAAAAAACTTTTCAGTGGTTTAAAGCTTAGTTAATATGTTCAGACTGATAGTCTTCGTTGAGACTGCCTCACTCCCCCACCGTGTTACTCATAAGTTCTCTTTCCCTAAATGTATGAATCACAAAAATCCAATTATCATCCCCACCACTGGCAGCGGTGAAGTATCCCACAAAGCACCTGATGAAGTCCTACATGAGTGAGAATTGTGTCCCCACATTGCTGTGTGCACAGAAAACCAAAATGTTCAACTAACTAAATGAGGAATCTTGTTCCAATGAATACGTCATACTTTTTCAGCCCCAACATGACTATCAAATTTGTTTTTAATTAAAATCAGATAACTGTCTACCACGTGACTCTACCAATGCCCATGCTACTCAAGCTACAAGAGGTGGAGGGGTTTCCATAATCTATAAGTCTATTTTCAATTTAACCTCTAACTATATAAAAATCAACTCATTTAAGGCTCTTATATTAACACCATCTCCATCAATATGAATTGCTTTATACAGAGAAACAGATCATTCTGCCTTCTTTAGACCATCTCCCCCGAGAATTTATCTCCAAACTTACCTTCAGTCCTCTTAGTATAGCCACTTCGGCACTTCTTGATACTTGATACACTCAGTTTGTTCCTGAACCTGCTCACTGCAGTGGTAACACCTTTGACTCGATTCTATCACGTGAGATAGAGGTTTCTGCTCTGTGGTGTGAGATAACTTTCGTATTAAATTTGAAGCAACACTAGCATGTCCTTGTAATGTCGGTGCTCATGTATTTACCACTTGCCACATTGGCCTGTCAACTTTACCCACAAGCAATCACTTTGGTTAGTGACTGCTTGTGATCCTGGCTCCTTTCACTGCAGCAACAGTCCAAATTGTACCACTGACTTAAACAGCCTTTTCTGTAGTCAAATGCCTCTTTCATTGTTTTGTGATTGGGTTTTTTTGTAAACCAACAGATTGTAGCACAAAGACAAATTTCCCCTCAGGGACAACTACGTTTACTCTACTAGTCTCACAAGACGGTCTACATCATGGTTTATTGAAAAACTAAAGCTCTTGAGCATTAATCAAAACTAGAGGGTTTTTTTTACTTCTAATGTTGTTGTCTAAGCTGGTATTAGCTTCTAAACCAACCACTGGCCTCCTTGACCCTGAACAAATAAAGTTTCAATTAGCTGCATATTCTTTGATTACTTCAGTCTCAATATATCTCTTAAGCCCAGTACTATAGTCTATATTTGTCCTGCCAATGAGAACACACTGTACATTTTTCTGTCCATCCTGGGAAAGGGAAACCCTCATCTGTTGCTCTTCCTGACATTGCTTACATTTTCCCTGCAAAGATGGAGTTTTGCAGATAGATAGTTGATTGTTGAGTCTCATTTCCACGTCGTCAAATGTCAGCGCTCTGGGTTGCCAAAGCATCGATCGAAGCACAAACACCACCTGTTGTGTTTTGTGGCTCGCTCCGAGCCTCTTTGTTTGTTTCCTGTTTACCATAAAGGTAAAAGTGTCGGTATTTGATGACCTGGGAATGAAACAACCAACTATCTCTCTCCAGAATGACTGACCCCACCTTATAAGGGATAGTTTTCCTTACTGAGATCGAGGTTTTAAGGGTAAAGGGTGTTGTATGCTGTACAGATTGCCAAGCCCCTTGAGGCAGATTTGTGATATTGGGATACATAAGTAAAATTTAAACTCAACATAATCCTTTATCCTCTATCTTTTTCCCAACTTTTTATTTGTACTTTTTGGAATTTTTTTCTAAGGCGTGTACTCTTTTCTATGCTCAATTTTCCCTCCAAGAGTGGACTTAGGGCTTAAACATCTCTGTGAAGGTGCAAAAAGCTGAGAACATAGCGGTCAGCCTACAGGTATAATGGTATGGAAATGAGATCGTACTGAAGCAGGACTTGGTTGTTGAACAAGAAAATGTCGACCTGCTTATAATGTAGGTAAAAAAAAAAAGTACAGGGCAAAATTTTACCCTTTCATTCAATCTTTTCCCTGAGCCACAGCAGTCATAAATCAGACGTAATAGAGAGGAAGGTAGACATTTGGAGTATAACTCCAGGAGGACAACTCACTGAAAAGCTTAATTAAGTCTACATGGACGGAGCTGTAGCAAGCAGGATAAAGCCAAATCAGCTCTGTATAATAGCAAGATAATTTCCCACTGAGCAGAACTAGGCCAGGTGATATTTGCACATTCCTTCTAAGGTGTATTTCAGTCTGCTTTGGCTGCCTGGTGAGCTTTATGGCACATAGAACAATTCAGTGAGTACTATATTGTTTGGAGCTGTTCTATGAAAGACAACTTTCAGGATACTGTCTGATTTGTACATATTTTTATAAGCTGTATTTTAAGCTGATTAAAGAAAAAAGATTTCCCACAGCTATTTGACCCAGCTCAGCTTTCATGTTTGCTGTATTTTTGGTCTCTAATGGTGAAAGCATAATTGCGCAAATAGTTATACAGTTGTTGTATTTGGTGGTGCAGGATCTGCTCTCTGAGGGGCTCTATGTTTGAATACAGCAACTGCAGCATGCGAAGGGTTCAGCAGGAAGCGGATTTGAGCCCCTGTGGAGACACCAGAGAGATGTGGAATATGCATGATGTAAGAAGCAAGAAAATCCCTCCAAATATTTTTGATAAACAAGAAGAAAGAATAGGAGGCTGTGGTGGTGCAGCAAGAAAGCAACACAAGCAGTTAACAGCTGTGTGGCAAGTGAGTGAATTAAGGAGGAGCTGACAAGTTAAATTCAGTAACGTCTCTGATTGTTTTTGTATTTAACTGAAGTGACGAGAGAAAGGACTCTATTGTAG